GTAGAATCAGAGAATCATCATGGAATAGTTCGGGTTGCAAGGGGCCTTAGACATCATCTACTTCCAACTGCTACGGGCAGGGAACCTTCCACTAGGACCAGTTTGTTGTTAGGTAGGAGGAATTTCCTTCCATCTCTCTTTACTACCCAGAGCAGAGAGTTCCTGAACCCCCTGCAAGGGACAAAAAGCTGCTTAGGACGGGTTGGAGCCACGTCCCAGAGTTTGTGCAACCACACAAGCCGATCACTCAGATGGAAACATTCAGATAATTTGCTTCCAACCAAAAATTCCGGTAGGTGTGCCAACAAACCATGCAGATTGGGAAATCAGAGAGGGCTTTGTGAACTCCTGAGAAGGGTTTGCTCAAACCTGGAGCAGCTGCTGGGCCAGATGGTGAAGTCCTGCTCTACAGCAGACGTGGAACTGGAAAGATGCAGAGGTGTGTGGAGGAAGTGCAATCTCTGCTCCTGCTTCGTGTCCAAGACCTCCAGGGCACACTGGGAGCAGGTTTTCAAGGAATACAGGCCAAGAGCTCATCCCAAACCTTATGGCAGTCACAACTTGCTCATGAGAGGAAGGGGGACTGGCACTGAGCTCTGCTCTGTGAGGACCAGGGACAGGATTAAAGGGGATGGCCTGAAGCGGTGTCAGGGCAGGCTCAGGTTGGATCTCAGGGAAAGGTTCTTCCCCCAGAGGGTGGTTGGCACTGAACAGGCTCCCCAGGGCAGTGGGCACAGCCCCAAGGCTGCCAGAGCTCCAGGAGGGTTTACACAACGCTCTCAGGCACATGGTGGGATGGTTGGTGTGTCCTGTGCAGGGCCAGGAGTTGGACTCAATAATCCTTGTGGGTCTCTTCCATCTCAGAACGTTCTGTGAATCTCATCTAGTGAGTGACAAGGGCCTGTGTTTTATTATACACACATTTATGGCAGGAGGCTGGCACTGGATGAGCTTATGGGTTCCTTCCAACCCAGCCCATTTTTATGATTCTTTGTGTAATATCACAGAATCAGGGAATGGTTTGGGTTGGGAGGGACCTTTAAATGTCATCCTGCCCAACATCCTCACCATGAGCAGGGACATCTTCAACTAGACCAGGTTGTTCAGAGTCACATCCATCCTGACCTCGAATGTTTCCAGGGATGGGGCAGCCACAGCTTCTCTGGGCAACCTGTGGCAGTGTTTTACTGCGCTCACTGTGACAAACACCAAACCATACAGCACTTTACACCTACTCAGATGGTCCATCCTCCCTGGGTAGTGTTTAAGGGGCTGCAGATGGCTCAGGTGTTGAACCTGAGAGAGACCCTGCCCTTCTCTCTGGGGCACAACCTGAAGCCACTAAAATGTTTGCAGTGCTGTGGTCAGTAAATCTGCAAAGAGCTGATATGTGGGGAGTTAATTAAACACTTGTGGCCTGTGATGCTTCTCCTGAGCCTTTAAGGCCCTGCTGCAGTAAAACCTCCTGAAAACTGGTTATTCAGGCCTGTGGCTTCACCCCTTGCCTTTCAATAGTGTTTTATGTTTTGACTGTCATTAACACCCATATAAATGAGCCAAAGGTCATCTTGCTTCTTATTTACACTTGAATTCTCCTCTGTGAGCAGTGGCTTTTATGCCACAGTGTATTTTTGGAATCTTCTTAGTTTCCCATCCTGGCTCTGCTCACTGTAGTCTCTCCAGCTTGTATAAGGATTACTAACTACCTTTTTTTTCCCCCTTTCCTTTCTGCACTTTGTTCCTTTGCTCCCTTTGTTCATCCATCCCCTCCCACCTGGCAGGGAGCCTTATGGAAAGGTCATCACCTTGTTCCCTCTCCAAACTCACCTTTAAACTCCTTTGTCCTCCTACCTGCAAAGAGAAATGACAGCGGTGAAGAAGCTGAGGTCCCTCAAATTGTCTCCCTGTGGTGCTTTGCTGAGGACTCACACAATCAAATTGTGAGCCTGGGTATCTCCCACCGTCCATGAAGGGGTGATTTCACTTCATTTACACTACAGTGTAACCAATTTAGCCCAGTTGCCTTCCCTCCTCTTCACATTTTCTGGCCATGGCTCAACTAAAACACAGGAGACTCCATCTCCATTTCCACAAGGAAACACTTTTTTGCTGTGAGGGTGACCAAGCACAGGAACAGGTTATTACCCTGAGATGGGGTACAGTCTCCATCCTTGAAGGACCCCAAGAATATCCAAAAGGTCATGCTTCCATTCAGCCAGTTTTAGGTGACCCTGATTGAGCAGGGGGTTTGGACCAGGTGACCTCCAAAGGACTCTTCCAAACTCAAGGTTATTTTTACCATAAATGAGAGTTAGCTGTGGCTTCTTCGAGTGAAGCTTTTTGTTATTTATCTTTTAAATGGAAACCCTCATCCTATTGCTTTTAGGAGCAGATGCACCAGTCTGACAGTGGCAACATTTCTGATCAAAGTGAAATATAAACCCCACAAAAAGCAGATTGTTTCATGGCTGATAACTAATACCACCAGTCCTGTAAAATGGCACATACAGCTCCTGGTGCTTTGAAAAATTTGCCTTTCCATTTTCAAATGATCAGACTTTATTACCAAAGTCTGGTGGGTAAACCGAGAGCAAGGGAGGCCACCAGAACTGGCTGGATTTTCACTGGGGGTCTGTGGCAGAGCTTTAAATTGACCTTGAAACATCAAAATCTCAGTTTAATACTTGTCTGAAGTTCACTGCCTGTAAATCTCAGAGTAAGAATCTTCTGAGGCACTTTTCCAAATTTTCTGGGTTTTTTTGTTGTGGTTTTTTTTTTTTTTTTTCAATATAGAAACTAATCTGGTAAACAGTAGTAATTAGAAATGCTGTTTGGTCTGAGGGGAAACATCAGCCATCACTTGAGCCAAAACTGTGGGGAAGTAAAATCTTCATTTTCTAACCTTGTCCTTTTTACACCTCTCAGACATCAGTGAGCAAAGATTTCTTGTGTCACACCATATGGGTGAAATTCCATATCTAAAAGTGGCCTGAGCAGCAAAGAGTGGCAGAAAAACTTCTGTGAGAAGTTTCTCTAAAATCAAAGTAATTGTTATTATTATTATTATTATTGTTAATTTTTAATCCCAGTGATGCTGTGTCATTGTGCTTCCCTCTACCTGAGTTCCCACATCTGCTAAAGTATTAAGATAATTTGAGATTTCTAAAATAATCCAACCATTTGTGAGGAAGTGGAATTAAAAAGAAGAAATATGAGACAATAAGGCTGAAAGAAGCACCCCTTAGTTCACTGAGGGTAAGCAACAAAGAACCAAAACCACAGTGAAATCTAAAATCATCCCCAAACAGAAAGGAGTTTCGAGCAGGAAACAAGAAACAATGAAGTTCAGATAATGGGATCCATTGTAATGAAGAAGAAATAACAGAAATTGCATAACACCTCAAAAAAAAAAAAAAAAAAAAGGACACTGAACAGTCATGGCCTTGATTTTGTTTGCCCAAGATCTCTTGCGATCCCAATGTGAAGCCTGGCCAAAGGAGCTGCAGGCAGTGACAGCGCAGGAAAAGCCTGAGGAGCAGCTCCAAGGTGTGCTGGAGCTGCTGCTCCTGGACCAGCTGGGAGAATGAACCTTCAAGAGCTTTCATGGAGTTCAGATCTCTTGCAGAGGCAAATTCCAGGGACAGGTTTAGTGTGAAAATCCTCCTGTCACAAGGGTTCAACAGGTGACTGAAGCCAGGGGGTCAGGCTGCTGCTGATTTCAGAGCAAAGCAAGTTCCACGGCTGGGAGGATGTTCGGATGACTCAATTGTCAGAAATTTCTGGAGGTGAAACTCGGGTATTTTCCTGACTCACAGCTGCAGAATTGATTTGCTGCTGTTTGCAGAGGTTTTCTCGCTCTTGTGTGCAAAGAACCCCATTGTTGGAAGTGTTTGCGGAGCTCTGGAGTTTCACCGACGCCGTTTCTCGTCTGAGAAGCGAGTTTTGATTGCTGTTTGTTCATTCTGGTTTATTAAACCAGCTTTCCAGTCAGGGGGAGACAGTTTTGTGTGATGAATGGCACCAAAGGAATGCCACAATGGTGGGATTGGTGTGAGCTGGGCAGGGTAGGAACTGCTGGTCAGAGAAGGTGCCGGGGGGATTTACAATGTACTGAGTATGTTTTTACTTTGTTATTTCTGTATGAGCAGGGTGTATCTCGGCCTTTTAGGCTACCAACCTCTCAGGGTAAAGCTTATCCTGATTGCTGGTCCCTCCTCCCTTTGCTGGATTGAGCCAATTTGGGTTTGAGGAGCAGAGATGCTTTCCAAAGGGAGATGTGCTTTGTTCTTACGATCCCGGATGGATCAGGAAGCCCAGTTTTGGCTGAAGGAGTGAGATGTCCTTGTGTTAATTAAGGCTCTTTTTAGCTGGTTGGAGGCACTCAGCCTGCTGAAGAGCCCAGGAAGTCTCCCTGTCCTTGAGCACACATGTTAAAGCAGGCAATACAGGTTGTCAGAATGTGTTTTTTCTCCCCTCACAGCCAAATTTTCTCAGCCAAAAGAGTGGAGTGGAATTCCCAGGAATGCCATTTGACCAGGCAAGGTTTGGGTTTGAAGGACTGCATTTAGTTCCCAGGCCTCCAATCTTACCTTCACCATGTGAAATGAGCACTTTTTATCTATCCCTGTCTCAGCTTCTCACAGGCACAAATAATGCACTGATCTGTTTGGATAAAATGTTTCCACAAAAGAAGGAAGGAACAAGAAAGAACAAGGCAATGTGACAGTAACCCTCTCAAACAATACTGGTGCAGTGCCAACACCCAAAGGTCTGGGTACAACTGGCATTATGCACCATTAGAAGTATTAAAATGCACTTTGTTTCTCAGGTCTGCCCTTTACAACCCAGTGGGTCCCTCCAGTTTGGACGTTCTGTGTAATATGGAAACTTAATAACAGAGAAAAAAAGCAGGAGAATTTTACTCCAAGAATTGTGCTCTGGCATTTGTATCACAGGGGAAAGTTTGTTTTCTAAGCTGTGGTTTTTCTCTTTCCTTCCAGGGAACGTGACCAGGAATTGCACAAGCCAGGGTTGGTCAGACGTGTACCCTGCTCCCTACACCGTAGCTTGTGGATACGATTCCAACAGCACTCCAGGGGAAGAGGTTTGTAAGCCTGGATGGGTAGACATCAACATTGAACAGGGATCAGTATCAGATGGTCTTCCCACGCCCAGTTTTTTCCATTTCCCCAAGAGAGCCCTCTGGAGGATCCCTGGAAGCAGAATTCTAATGCTTGGTCAAAGAAATGATCTTCTCTTTGATTTTATGGAATCATGGAATGGGTTGAGTTGGAGGGGACCTTAAAAACCATCTCATTCCAACCCCCTGCCATGGGCAGGGACACCTTCCACTAGCCCAGATTGCTCCAAGCTCCATCCAACCTGGCCTTGGACACTTCCAGGGATGGGGCATCCACAATTTCCAGGGCAGTGACAGAAAATCAGCACCTGTGAAGATCAGACCAATGTCTGTATGATGCCTACAAATATCTCCAGGTGCTTCATGTTCCATCGTCAGCTTTGAAACCAGCCCCCCACATTTATGTTTTTCCTTGAGTAGATATGGGGTTTCCAGTCTTTTTAGGGCAACACTGGGATCAAAAGGGATAAAAAGGATATAACTCACTTGCCATCAGTGCTGCCCTGCTGATCTCAATCCCTGAATATCTAGAGCACTGTAAGGAACACACATTCCCGTGAAATGTTCCTGAATTTTGGAAGGAAATCCTCAAGCTCTCTGGGATGTTGTCTGTATATAAATTAGCAATTGCTGACTGAGGTATAAATAGATTTACTGGGGATTGTCATTATGCAGGGAGGAGTTTGTTATTGGTTTGCTGCGTCCTAGGACGTGAAGGGTAAAGTCTGAAGAGGGTGACAAATGTCAGAAGCAAGATCCGCCTCACCTAACTCAAAGTTCAGCATCTAATCTAAACTAAACTAGTCCCCAATAACTGCCACATAATCAACAAGAGAAAGCTTATGCTGAAAAAGAATTACACTTCACAGCAATCATGCATTGTAGTGTTTATATTTTCATATAATACATTTATATCTTTATATAATATGTTTATATTAAACCTCTTCCCATGGTTGTTGTTTAGGTTTTTTTTTTTCTGGTTTATGACATGTCAGTGTTTGTGAATGTTGGACACAGGAATCTCAATAGTGAATTAATGAATATATATTTCCAGTACTTAAAGGGGGCTTACAAGAAGACTGGAGAGGGATTTTTCACAAGGGCATGGAATGATAGGACAAGGGGGGATGAGCTTAAGCTGAAGGAAGGAAGGTTTAGGTGAGATATTAGGAAGAAATTCTTCCCTGTGAGGATGGAACAGCACTGGAACAGATTGTCTAGAGAGGCTGTGAACTGCCCATCCCTTGGAAATGTCCAAGGCCAGGCTGGATGGGGCTCTGAGCAACCTGGGCTAGTGGAAGGTGTCCCTGCCCATGGAAGAGGGTTGGAACAAGATGATCTTTAAGGTCCCTTCCAACCCAACCCATTCTATAATTCCACATGGTGAGAGCTCTCAGTGCGTGGTCCCACATTCCCAAGGCACTCAGAGAGTTAAGAGAGGATCTGAACAGAACTGAGGCAGCTTTAGGAGCAGAGGAATACAGAAAATAGCAAAGGGAAAGTTGCACAAAGAACTTCGGGGCTCTTCTGAAGAAAGTCTTAGTGAGCCTTCAAGGTCAGCCACCACTTCACGTCCTCGAGTGTCCCATCCCTCAGACCGAGCTGAGTGGCACCAGCTCAGCTCTGCCAAAGCCATTGTTGCAGGTCTGCCCTGGGAATGGTTCATGTTCCAGGCAGGGATTTGGGAATTCCTGGGACGTGCTTTGGCGGCCCAGCGCTCTGCAGCAGTGCCAGAGTGTCGCGTTACCAGGAGAACACGGATTGTGCTCTTTTAATTCTTTCTTAATTATTTTCTCCTGATTTCTGCGCTTTTTGTCACGCTGTTTGAGTCTAATTTGTGTGAAAGGAGGCTGAGGGGGGTGAACATGCAGTATTAGCCTGGGAGGAAGAACGGGTTTTTGGTGGTGGTGAATTGGCTGTCAGTTTGGGGAGGAAGAAATAAAGGGAACAGGAAAAAAAAAGAACAGCAGGTTGTGTGGGACACGAGATCCAGGGCAGACTGATTACCTTCCACGTGTAGAACACTTTATGACCTCTTGGGCTCAAGTTTTAACCAACATGTTTGGCAACTGAAAGACATTATATCAGTGTTTCTCTTCTTTTTCTCTTACAAATGGAAATGTTTCCCCTTGTAAACCAAGATACCAAGGAACAAATGTTGAGGTCACTGAACAGAAACCAGGGAAGATGATTCTCAATTAATCTCAATTTAGCATCTACCTGAAATAATTGTTATTATCACATTCCTGTGAAATTAAGCAGAGGGTTTTAGAAGTCAGAGAGACGATGATGAAATTGCCTGATTTCATTCTGTAAGTCAGCCTAGGTCTTCAGCTGGAACCCAGGCATCCTGCCATGCATTGCCTTCACTTACCTAAATCCCTCCAATTCCAGTGATGATCTTGGGTCAAATTCTCTGCTTTGATGTCTGTAAAGTAGGAACTGATTGTCATCAGCGAGTGCAAATGAAGAGTGAGAAGTCATGATATGCTGTTTCCAGAGCAGAGATGACCCCACGTGCTCCATTAAAGCTGAACTCAGAACCATCCCTCTCTACACAAGAATGTCATGAAATATTGGGAATTGCTTGTTGAATAACACCAAGGACTTTCCTCCTGCTGGGAATAACTCTGAGAAGCAAAAGGCCTGGATCTGTATTCACACTGGAGATTTTCTATCCACCATCTCACTGCTGACACCTCCTGTGATATCCCTTAATTTCCTTTCCCCCATTTCTCTGCTCTCCTAAACACAGTGTGGGACAACCTCTTCCTCAAACACAGTCCCCTACCATGAGCTCCCTCCTTCTGCTGGCCAGGTCTTTCCTGGAACATTTCTGCTCTGGTGCCATCAAGAAGGGAACTAAATAATGAGAGAAAGATGAAACCAAGAGGAAAGGTTTTACTGGAAAAGCCTCAGCTGCCTTTGAGATCCCAAACTCCAATAAGGCTGGAAAGAAGACTTTATTTAGGTAGCTTGGAGTGTCTTGTTTTCACCTCCCCCCACCTCCAAGCTGGCTTGTGCAAATGCTAAAAGGATTGCTACTCATCTCAGCCCCACTGGTTCTGTAAAGTACCAAGCACTTGTCAAGGCCTGTGAAAATAACATCTAAAAATGTCAACTCTCAGTGTTATTGAAGAGCCTTTCTCCAAACAAGGTTGGGTTTAGATTTTCTGTCTAACCTGATCTTTGTGGTTTGGGTTGTTTGGGATTTTTTTATTGAAAAGGAGGACAGGGAAGGCAGGGAAGTGTCAGTCAAGGGCTGGAAAAAATGAGATTTTCCACTAAACGAGTTAGATTCTCATGCAAACTTAGATTTGTCATTGATAAAATAAATGACTAAATACTTTTATCTTTTGTCCTTTTTTTAAGGTGAAAATCAGAACGTATTGATTTAGAGTGTTGCTGGAAAGCCTTGGAGGGCTGGAGTTTTGCTGCCTTACTTCCCCATTTTGTTTAGAACAGGATTCCCTGTTGGATTCATGTCCCAGGGATTCCCTCTGTGCCCTGTCGAAGGGCAAAGCCACGAACCAATTTCCAACTCTTGTGTATTTCTGAATTAACTTAGGTTTGATTTCAGTGAGAATGTTTTAAGTTACTTGCCTGAGCACAAGGCGCAACTTCCACAAAAACAAACCAATTACCCGAGCAGTTCTGCCCTCAAACTTCCTCAACAAGCTCGGATCTCCTCGTCCTCCCCACGTGATGTGTCAGTGTGCTCTTTAGCTGAACATTAATCACTCTTGTTCCACAAGGTTCTAACCATGTAGCTGTCTCTGCAAGTGTCAAATCAGGCTCCTTCCAGCAGGAACATTTCCCTGGTGGAGCTCTAACCCAGTTTTTGGAGTGATCCAAGCTCTGCTGCAACCAGATGTGTTCTTATTCACACCGGTGGTGTTTGAGTCGTGTGCTCTGCTGGATGATGTGAAGGAGTTGTTTCGAGAGGATGGAGAAGGATGAGTTCCCTGTCTCACCAGTCAGTGGTGCTGTATTTAGGAATGCATTTTGGCAGCTCTTTAAAGGACCTGTTTTGCCTCTTTCCTTTCCCCACTACCCCAGCAAACGGCGTTCTACGGCACGGTCAAGACCGGCTACACCATCGGACACACCTTGTCCCTCATTGCCCTCACAGCTGCTATGATCATCCTGTGTCTCTTCAGGTAAGACCATGAGCAAAAAAAAAAAGGCACTCAAAAGGACATAGAGGCTGTTAAAGTTATAGACTTTATAGGCTATGAGTGGCACAGATAAATGCCAAAAACTTCTGAGTTGGATTAGCGGAAGAAAGTTCTCCCGTCTTTTGGCACCGCTGTTTTTTACTGTGTGGTTTGTGGCCTTTGTGTGAGATTTATAACCCAAATCCTGTTTTTATTTAGGTGGATTTATCTCACTAAAGGTAGATTGTCACATGATGGATCCCTGTATTAGAGGCCATTATGCCATAAACCTGTTATAGCCCACAGAGTCAGATATATGGATACTGTGGAATTTCTGCTCAAAGTAGAAATTCAAAGTGGTACTGATTAATCACACTCCAAAACTACCCAGGATCACAAAATCCCAGAATGGTTTTGGTTGGAAAGGACCTTAAAGATCATCCTCTTCCAACCCCCTGCCATGGGCAGGGACACCTTCCACCAGTCCAGGTTGCTCCAAGCCCCGTCCAACCTGGCCTTGGACACTTCCAGGAATGGGGCAGCCACAGATTTTTCTGGGCAGCCTCTTCCCTCCCAGAGTGCATTTCAGAAACACTTCCTGCTGCAGCTTTATGGCAAGACAGAAACACCCAGAGCCTTTTGAGTCATGCTGGGAGCTCTGAGATGTTCACAAGGATAGCAGATACGATGCAGAACCTTCAGGAGACCCCTGCCCTTATGAATTGATGGGCAGATACTCTGCAGCTGATCAAGTGGCATTAGAAGCCTAGATTGTGGCAAATTAATTAATCCTCAGTTTCTTGTTTATAAATTAGTCAGGCATCCAAATTTGGGTGCCTCCAATGAAGAGGTCTGAGTATAAGTTATCTCCTATTATAAAGCTGTTTTGGTGAAGGGAGAACAGCAAAGATCAGACCTCTGTGAATGGAAGAACCTCTGGGATGTGTTTCCACCTCCTCCTGTAGCAAAGGGCTTATATTCTAGGGTATAACTCTCACACTTAGACCAAGACTGGCCTCACCTTTCCAGAACTTTGCTCTCCTCACGTGTGTTCTCTCCACTCCCTTCCCAAGGGAGGAGGGAGTCAGCAACACATACTGATTATCTCAGCATGGTACAAGGGGCCAGGCTGATGAAACCCTGGAGGTTCACGCCGTTCCTGTGCGGGAAACGGAGTCATTTGACTTCCCTTCACCTGGAAGTCCAGAGGACTCAGCCACATTATCTTGCCATCACCCCAGATTAGGAGCACAACCCCTGCCAAGGTGCGGTGACTCATTAGGGGCTGGTCAGTGGATTGTGCTGCTGAGCGAGGTGTGTGGTGGTTCTGGTGTCTGTGCAAAGTGCCCACCTGCAGAGTACTGGGCTCTTCACGTGGCTGGGGTAAAGTCCCACTTGGTAAAAAAAAAAAACAAACCCACACCTACTTGATCAAAATTCATCTTCAAAATATTAGCAGAAAAAAAATAATGTTTAACCACATACTGGCTTTTCTCTCAAGAATATTCCCCCCTCTCACAGCAATAGGATTAATATATAAATAAAGCAAAAAAGCAGTGTAACTATGGTGCAGGATACAGGTGTACATTTATTGCCAATTTCATCATTTGTATCTTAAAATAATATTTTATTATATATAATTTCTCTTTTAACTGCTTGCCACTTTTTTCAGATATGCCCTTGATGAATAACTTTTACTTCCCATTCTTGAGATACTGTGAGCTTAACAGAAGAGATACAATTCTCAGACACAGATCATTATTTTAACGTGATTTTAAATATTTTTTTTTTCTGGTTTATCAAGTTGACCACCAGAAGTTTCACCCAATCTGTGCTTTAAACCAGATGAATTCTGGCAGTGTTCTCAGCGTCATTAACAACCAGTAATTTATAAGTAATTATACAGTTCATATTGCTCCAGAAAGCCTGTAATACGTGTTAATTTTGGCAACAGATGCTAAGAATTTATTTCCCTTCTTGAACAAACATTTCACTCTGGGAAGAATTATTGCAGCACAAACACCACGTAGAAAACAGCCCTTTATTGTGAGCTGCTCAGTGGAAAGCATTTCTTTTCCAGTGGAGAAGGGTGGGATGGACCTGCTTTCTGTCATTCTGTGTTTTGTCCTGCTTTTCTGAGAAATGGCAAAAGCAGCAGGGCTGTGGATCGCCACGTTCCGTGGATTTAAAAAGGGCTTGAAGTGGATTTGTGGTGATGTAAATCAGAACAGAGCCCGTCTCGGGGTGTCTGATGTTTAATTGTAACTCCATGAGTTACAGGAGAGACATGCAAATAGGTAAATAACCCTTTTGTGAAGCCTGGCTATTGACAAAATGTTTCATCTCTTCCCTACAGGAAACTGCACTGCACTCGAAATTATATTCACATGCATCTCTTCATGTCCTTCATAATGAGAGCCATCGCAGTCTTCATCAAAGATGTCATCCTGTTTGAGAGCGGAGAGTCCGAGCACTGCTTTGTGAGCTCAGTAAGTAGCCTTGCACTTTGAAGTTTCCACCTCATTCTGTTGCCCCC